TCCATCTCTTTGCTATTGTGAATAATGCAGCAATAAACATGAGTGTGCATACATCTGTTTGAGTTGTGGCTCTGGTTTCCTTAGGGTATATTTCTAGTGGTGGAATTTCTGGGTCAGATGGTATTTCTGTTTCCAACTTTTTGAGAAACTGCCAGACCACCTTCCATAGTGGTTGTCCCATTTTACATTCCCACCACCAGTGAATAAGAGTTCCAGTCTTTCCACAACCATGCCAGCATTTGTTTGCTGCCCTGTTGAACTTTGTTATTATTTCTGGGGTGAGAGGGTATCTCATAGTTGTTTTGATTATAATATGATCCCGATATTTACCACACTCTTGTTGTTATGTATTGTTGAGTTGGAACAGATTCATAGCTGACCTCCTGGTGGGGTTTCAGAGGCGGTTAATTGTGTGGGAAGAGATTGCCCATCTTTGTCCCAGGGAGCAGCAGGGGGATTCAGACTGGATGACTCTGGGTTGGGCAGCTCAACCCCTTCCCTCTAAGGCAATGGAGTTCTCTAGTCATGATATTTAAAAATACAAAGGGAAGACTTTGAAGTCTAAACATACAAATTAAGCTTTATTGGAGAAAAAGGCTAATTTTTCCACGTAAAGTCACTCACTGACTTACAAATACTATGAGGTTTGAAAGAGAGTTGTGACCAATTTAGTAATTAAAAGAACTAAAATTTTGACCAAATATCATATGTTTGTTGTTTAGTGTTAGGAAAAACATAAAAGGAAATGTAAACATAAAATTTTTAACCCAAAAGAGAATGAGCCATTTCTATTATTTGACCTATTCATGAAATTTTATAACCTTTTTAATAGCCTTTTAGTTCTTTTACTTTATAAAGCTCTTTCCCAAAGTTAACATTGTCAGTTTTTTCATAGATCATCATAAATTTGCATTGTTACTTAAATGAAAATTTTTTTAAATTGGTGTTTATTGTCATTTTATCAGTCAGAATGACTTCTTTGAAAAAAACATTAAAATCTAATAATCCCATTCAGAGGTAAGAATTGTATTTTTAAAATCTTTAGCATGCTTCATAATATTTTTTAGAGAAGGCAGTTTAGAATAATTTGCTTCTTTTTAAGGCTGTCTTCTTCCAGTCAAAATAAACAATTCATTGTCTCTTAGTGTACTTTCCAAATGAACTGATTTGCATTAAGAGTTCTCCAAGCAGCTATTGAAAGCAAATTTGTAAGACAGGCACAAGAAGCAATTTTATTTGGATGTGATGCTTAGCACAACCCCATGGTACCTCATGAGAAGCAGAGAGGAAGGAAAAAAGGAACTCCAGATGGAATGATCTCTCTAGATTAAAACTGATGCTTTATGGCAAAATATGTTCCACAGATTTTTTTTAGGTGGCTTATTTCAGATCTTGTTCAGGTGAATGCCATGTTAAATGAGAATTGCACTCCATCTCTGAAGTCAGTTTAAAGAACAAATTTTTAAAGTCTCTGTTTTTTCTTATGTGACTTTTTAGTTTATGATGACCAGTAGTAGGATAGCATTATTAAAACAGCACAAAGTAAAACAGGACTGTACATGCATACACCACTAGCTACATAATTTTGGACTGTTTTAATTAGGTTACTCTGTCTTAAAATTACCAGAGATTGCCAGTGGATCCAGTCTGAGAACATTTGTCTCAAACCTGGACAAATAAGTTTTGCTTCAAAAGTCGTCACTGACTTTTAAAGAATTTCATGGAAATTGCATGCCAACATCCATGTATGAAATTGCAGTGGGAGGACTTAGGAGAAGTCTAGCCTGATCTTAAAGCATGGCATTCTCCATCTTATCAAGATCGGCACATATTTGTCAATGCACAGCAGCTTGTGCTTTCCTTTAATTAGCGTGCACAGGGACAGCCCTGACCAGAGTTCAGCAAGTGCAAACAAATGGAAAGAAAGTGTTCCCAGGACGTCTGAAAGTTCTCAGACAGAAAAACACAAAGCCTGCTTGTCTATCTGGCAAGAATATTACTCTAATTTTTGGATCTTATTACTGGCCAGACTCCACAATTTCCTTATTTATTCTGAGGCTAGGCAGTAAGTATTACAAAGAAATTTTACTTAGACTTCTTCATTTGATCCCTTACAAAAAGGACCGAAACTTAAGGATATATTGTAAATGACTGCATTCTACAATCTGACTCTGTACATGACTCATTTTTATAAAAGTATTTTTGTTAGTCTTTAAGCACTCATGGGCTAAGTTTACCTAATATTAAATCACACAAGGTTGAACCCAATTATTATTGTTGCTAGGTGTTTCAAGTTGTGTACAACTTACAGTGACCTTCTGAACAACAGATTTGAGCCCTCTCCTACCCTATACCATCCTCATCATCTCTGACATACATGAGCCCATTGCTGTGGTCACTGTATCAAGCCATCTCATTGAGGGTCTTCCTTTCTTCTACTGAGCCTTCACCTTTCCTGGCATGGTGTCTTTTTCCAAGGACTCGTAACAACATACCCAAAGTATATGGGACTAAGTACCACTCTTGCCTTTAAGAAGCACCCTTGTTGCATTTCTTCCAAGGTGTATTTGTTCTTTTGGCAGTCCATGGCAGTCTTTTGGCAGTTCAATACTCTTTTCCAGCACTATAATTAAAAGATAATTTTTTTCTTCTGTCATCATTATACATTGTCCAACTTTTGAATGCATAGCAAGTGATGGAAAAGACCATGGTTTGGATCAGGTGCACCTTAGTCTTTAAACTGACATCTTTGCTCTTTAGCACTTTGGAGAGATCCTTGACAGTAGATTTTCTCATTGTAAGATGCCTTTTGATTTCTTGATTGCTGTTACGTTGGGTATTGACTGTGGATTCAAGTAAGGTGAAATAATTGACAACTGTAATCTTTTTTTCACCAGTCATTATGTTGACCATTGATCCAGTGGTGAGGATATTTGTTTTCTTGATGCTGAGATGTAATCCATGTTGAAAGATTGATCTTTGATCTTCTGCAGCAAGTGTTTCACATCCTCTTCACTTTCAGCAAGCAGGGTTGTGTTATCTGCATAATGTAGGTTGTCAATGAATCTTCTTCCATTCCTGACTCCATATTCTCTTTCATATAGTCCACCTTCTTGAATGACTTGCTCAGCGTACAAATGGAATAAATATGGGAAAAGGACACAGCCCTGACACTTACTGATTTTAGAACTTGCAGTGTTCCCTTGTTCTGTTTCATGTTTCACATGAACCCTAGTGTTCTTGGATGTGGAGTTAATAAAATATAAATATCCTGCTGTACTCTCTGCTTTCAGTCAAGATCTGACATCAGTAGTGATATCTCTAGTGCCATGGCTGCTTCTGAATCCAGTTTGAATTTCTGGTAGTTCTTTGTTGATTCTTTTTTTTAAAGTGAGAGTCCTGCTTGCTCTTTTATTTAATTTTTTAAAAAAATTTCCATTCATTCATTGTTGCACTTTCTCCCTGCCCCTCCCACCCTCCCAGTTTGCCCTTCTCTTTGAAAAGGAAAAGAAAAATTCTTTCATTGTTTTACAATCCCTTCCCCCAGTCTGCTTCATTATGCAGCCTTTGTTCTGGACTCCTGTCATGACAATAATACCTAATCACATATCCCTTTTAAACAGTTATCTCCCTCATCTGTTTCAATGAAGTATACATAATTTAACCCATCTTTCTCATTCTCTTGTTTTACAGCAGTGACACTATGCAGTATTTGTCTTTTTGTGACTAAGATATTTCACTCAGCATGATGTCTTCCAGGGTTATCCATTTTATAAAATATTTCATGAGTTTTCAAAGAAGTGTAGTATTCCATTGTGTGAATGAATGTGCCACAGCTTCTCTGTCCATTCGTTTGTTGATGGGCCCTTAGGTTGTTTCCAACTCTTTGCTATTGTGAACAAAGCTGCGATAAACATGGGTGTGCATTCAATTTACAACTTTTTGAGAAAGCACCCTACTGCCCTCCATAGTGATTGCATTTTAAACTCCCACCAGCAGTGAATAAGAGTTCCAGTTTCTCCACAACCTCGTCAGCATTTGTTGTTTGCTGTTCTGTTAAATTTTTCTATTCTTACTGGGGTGAGATGATATCTCATAGTTGTTTTGATTTGCATCTCTCTTAGAGCTAGGGTCTTTGAACATTTCTTCATGTGTTTGTGTGCCATCTGAATGTCTTCTTTGGTGAAGTGTCTGTTCATATTCTGTGCCTATTTTGCAATTGGGTTGTTTACCTTTGTCTTTTTGTGGTTCTCGAGTATTTTATAAATTCTAGATATAAGTCCCTTATCTGACATGTCATTACCAAATATTTTTTCCCAGTCTGTGGCTTCCCTTTTTACCCTGTTAAAGAAGTTTTGGATGTGCATAGAGATTTGATTCTTAGAGGGTCCCATTCATCTATTTATTCTATTCTCTCTTGGTTGTAGATTTTTCAGGATGCTTGGAAGACTGTTTATGTTGTGGAATAGGAATTCTAGAGTTTTCCCAAGCTTTTCTCTAATGAAGTTTATAATCCTTGGTTTCAGTTCCAGGTCCATGATCCACATTGAGTTGGTTTTTGTGTATGGAGTGAGGTGTGGATCTTGCTTGAGTTTTCTGCAGTTTCCCAGGTTTTTTTTTTCTTTTCAAGATTAGGTTTTTGCCTTTAGTCTGAAAAAGTGTTGATTGAAAGTGTACAACAGAGTGGGTGCAAGTGGCTGGGGGCCATGGAGCCAATAATGAAGAATGTCCTTAAATAAAGTGTTCACAGAGTAAAAACCAGAACTGTCAGTCTTTCCCTCCAACACAACAGCACAGGCACAGAACTGGTGATGAGCCCAAAGGAGCAACAAGGAGGCTGCCGGGCGGCTGCGTGGAGGGAGAGCCCTCTGGAATGGGCTGAGTAAAGCCATCCATCTCTCCCTGCACACCTCATACCCAATGCTAAGGCTAAAGGAAAAAGACAAAACTCAGTTTCGGTCCAGAGGGCTCAGAAAACAGTCTCAGTAGGCAGGAGGTAGCTAGTCCCGCTTGACCTTCTTGTCACTGTTGCCATTTTCCTCCACCCCTTCAGAGGTGAGCACCTCTTCCAGTTTCCGCTTGCCACTCTTTGGCTGGAGCTCAGCCGTGTTTCGGGGCTTGAAGCAAATGATGATGCAAGTCATGTTGTCACACCCTGTACCATCCCCAGATGTATCAGGTGCTAGGCACTGATTGAGCAGCTCTTCCACAATGGATGACAGTAACCGAAGCTCCCCATTTTCATCACGCTTGCTGATCTTTGATTGAATAAAGTCTACAACTTCCTGACTGCTCATCACATTCCAAATGCCATCACAGGCAATGACCATGAATTCGTGATCATCAGTGAGAGCCAGCACCTTGATGTCAGGAAGGGCTGAAATCATCTGTTCCTCAGGTGGCAGGTTCTTGTTTCTCTTGTAGAAGTGGTCGCCGATTGCTCTGGAGAGGTTGAGGTCCCCATTGACTCGGCCATCCATGGTGACCTTGCCACCAGCATTCTTGATGCGTGCCAGCTCCATTTCATCCTCTGGTTTGTGGTCATATGACATATCCAAAGCTTTTCCAGCTTCAGAGACCACACAGCGAGAGTCTCCAACATTGGCCACAATTAACTGCTTCCCTCGTATCAGAGCCACCAGTGCTGTCGTGCCACTGTCAGAGCCAGGCTCCTCTTTGCCTTCCATCCCAGGCACCATAATCTCTTCTTCTTCTTCATCATCCTCTTCTGCCTCTTCGGTGTCATCCTCATCTTCTTCATTCTCTGCCTCCTCACTGCTGTAGCCATCCTCTTCCTCACTGCATTCCTCACTGTCTTCTTCTTCCTCCTCCGCCTCATCTGACTCACCCTCACTGTCCTCAAAGAACTTGGACTTAGCAACTCGAGGCAGCTTGTCAGAGGCTCAAGAGCAGGAGGGCCCAGCCTCACCAGTGGGTGTGCCAGGCTCAGCAACTTGGCCTGCCTCAGTCCCACATTCCAAGTTGGAGGAAAGGCCTGTGTGGGCCTTAGCTGTAGGGCCATTTTCCTCTGAAGGAGTTTCCCTAGATGAGTCCTCAGGTCCTGTCTCCCCATTGAGGCCCTGGGACCCTGGCTCCTCGCCTGTCCCAGCTTCAGATTTGCTGTGGGGAGGGCCCTTGTGACAGTTCTGCCCATAGTGTGTC